ATCTGGAAAAGGATTTGAAATGTAATTATCATAAGTTGCTTTTTTTTGTTTTTTGTTTTTTCATTTCAGTTGCGGGGAGCTTTAATTACATTTTTTGGTGATTATCGAATGTCCTGGAGTGTTCAGTGAACACTTCATACTACTGAGGGGCGTCAAACCTTGGCTTGAATTGCTTATGCAAATGAGATGGCTGCACATTGAGTGTGCAGCCAGCTCATTTGCATAAAATCTTTTCCTGGCGCAAAGCTCGTCATGCAAAGCCAGTTGAGGTTGTATTACAAAAGGCAATATTCTCTTCTGTGGGCGCGCTATTTCCTTTGTTTCAGAGTATACTTCTCTCCTGAAGTAATAACTCCAGAGATACGTTTCTCAAAACCCATATGTAGGTTTCCTCTATTCTCGAAGGGTATTTTGAAGCTCTGTACGTTTTTACTAAACGTGGAGGGCACCTAACTCGTTCTTAAGAGGCTTGGGGCTTCTCCTCTTACAAATCCCGTATTTACGCTCGGTGAAAAAGTTCGTCAATTACAAGGTCTCTTTCTCTCTAATATGCGTTTGCATGTCAAGGGTCAATTCATAGTTGAACAACTCGCGTATAGGAATATAACTACCGACTTTGAAATTATTCATCCCGCAATCGGTTGTGAGTGTAACTAATGCCATTTGAGTCGAGATTCTTATTCAGATTGCAGGTTCAAATCTTTCTCAACAACGTCAGTTGCCTCCGAAGAACGAATTCGTCACGGGGGAATAACGAGAGTCGCGTAGGCGGGTCAAACGTTTTAACTTTCGAAGGAATGGCAACAGACAGTGAATCCCCATTACAATCCACGTATATTCACGCCGTATCTCGCTACCAACAAAGATGTTTACTCCAACGCGTCAAGATGCAAATGACTCAATTTTAGTTTTACGACCATGATGCAACGTAATCAGAGTGTGCACACCGCCTGATTTTCACCCAAGACAGTGATAGACTTACAAAATCTAAATGCTTGCGTATGGTGAAAATTTTGACGACAGCATCCCCTAAAATTTCGTTCCTTCTTCTTCGGATCCCATTAGTTTTGCTATTTTGTCGTTATTAGGACACGACTTATTCTCGGAAATTAACTGGATGTGGTTCCTCTGAGTTACTAGACCATGGGGCGCAAGGTCATCTTATGAGCTACTGAGACACCTTTTACGTATTTTGCTTGCTGCTTTATTGGACAAATTACGATACTTTAATAGTGAATCAGGGGACAGTGGCGGATCCAGGGGGAGGGTCCGGGGGCTCCGGACCCTCCCTATCAGACCTGACGCTTACAGCTTTGAGAATGAAATTCTTACATCCACAGGATCGTATATCAATTTTTAACTGGCTTATTTTTTTTAATGAATCCAAGTAAACGGTATGCGGCTAAAGCCGCATAATAACGTGCAACCGCGACTAGTGAGAGGGGGTGTGGGGGATGTGGAAGAGAAGTAATCTGCCTCAAAAGAGTCCAGCAGTCCTTTCTGAACCAAAGTTTGGACCCTACCAATCAAAAATTCCTGGATTCGCTCATGGCGGACATTAGATGTCACGTTTGATAATGGATTCGCCTGACTGTCTCAGTTCGTTAAGCCAACGGCTACTAAAGATTTTGTTACCGGATAAAAGATAATAAGATTTTGTTACCCGATAAAAACTTAAATCGGCAAACGCTAGTTTATCGACGGGATTAGAGAAACACATCGATGAAAGATTTTATTGTGTTAAGTCCAACTTTGTTTGTTGATAACAGTGGATAAATTCAGTGCCTCGTATACTGGAACTTTTCAAGACCATTAAGGGGGTAAATGATGACAGCAATCAAAACTCCAAGGTTGAAGGAAAACGAGAAAGCATCCACGCCGCTCACCCTATAAAAATAATGTATTCTTCATTCTTTTTTTTCTAGTTAACAACAAGAGTCTGTAACTAAAACATATCGAACACTGTTTATAGCCAGCCCTCAAATCTTTGTGGTGATAAATGATCCTTAATAAAGCTAAAACCATTGTTTAGAGAATATTTAGTGAAGGTGACTGCCAAGCCCCCCAAAAAAGAGGATGTGCTCGCATGTCAGCATACATGTATAGCACTGAAAGTACACAAGCTTTCGTTCAAACATTGTCATCAAATGTATCACTTACTGGTTTGTTAGTTTAGATACTAATTAGCAACCGAACAGTAAGCTGAGACAAACGTTTCCTAACCATTCACTGTTACTCAGCACATTTGGAAATACAGTCGAATAACCATTTGCACCCTACCTCAGGAATTTCTTCTTTATTCATATATTTCTTGTAGATCATGTGGCTTTGGAACTGGTTGTTGGGAGCCAAACTTCCAGACTTAGTGAATTTTCGGCTGATCACGTAAACATTTCTGAAGCTGACATGACTCGCAGCAGAAAGCTGGTCAAGGAATACCGTAAAAACCAGGTGATGTGGTACTGTCCAAAGAAGTCTACTCTTCCGATTTTGAGACTTGAATATACTGGTAGTGTTTATGAAAGACTGAAGACTGAGGCTGCCGATGGCAAATTGGCAAAATTTAATTGTTATAAATACTCTTTTTTTGTTAAAATCATTCATGAGTGGAATGACCTGCCCGCCAATGTCGTTGAGATAGGTAATTAATTTAACACGTTTCAAAACAGCTCTTAAATTATACATGCGTATTTCTTAGTTTTTTATCCCTATTAGATTTTATTATAAGCATAATTTTTTAAATTTTATTTCATTGGAAGTTTATTTACATATGGTTAACCTCTTAAACTTCCTTTTTAGGGTATTATTTGTGTTGTTTATTCTTTGATACCTTAAATAAAGTATGTATGTATGTATGTATGTATGTATGTATGTATGTATGTATGTAAGTTTTGATGTCATGGTAGTTTTAAAAGCATCGACGGCATGGTTATGGGACGATCCAGAAGTCATGGTGGATGACACGGATGTACCTGGGTACGTTCGACTTAAAGCGAGAAGCGATTCCAAATATCGAAAATACGCAGGTCCTGTAGGTTATATAAATCCTGAACGTCTTCGTAATGGCTGGTTCTACAGTCTCGTTGACGAAGCAGTAGACGATTTTAGAGCTAGAGTACCACGGTCTGACGTGAACGTGGTCGTGCGCCAACACGGACCCGCTGTACAGGTAGATATCTTTAAGAAGGGAACATCATACATAGATCTGTTATCTGTTGACCTCGTTCCTTGCTTTCAAATCGGGTCAGATAATTATTATATGGCAAAGTCGTACGGTGGGAGGAGATTCGTCTCTAGTCCAGGTCTTCTCTGGTGGCAATCGTTTTCACTGAAAGAGAAAGAACTTCTCGAATACATGGATCGAGATCACGGTTGAAGGCACGAACTACTCAGAATCGTCAAGACCATTGTGAAGAGAGAACGAACTTCCCTCGGAAGATGAGAGTCATACCACTTGAAGACAGCTTTCATGCACTGCATTAAAGAAAAGCGCAATTACTGGAATACACGGACATCGCTTGGAGATCACTTTGTTGGATTTCTAGGTTACCTGTAAAACTGCCTTGAGAAGAACAATCTTCCCCACTACTGGCTGGACGGCGTTAACATTTTAGACGACATTGGTGGAGTAGTGATTAGCAACATGGCTGCCCGGTTGAGGAGAATCTTGAATACTGAAATAGAACGGAATCAAATTCTTTCATAGATAAACAGTTTCCACCACCTTATCTAATACCGTAACCTTTAAACTTCACTAGAGGCGGAATCCTGATTTACATTGCCAAGCTTCTGTAACAGAAAAGATCACTGAAATCCTTGTAAACTGGTATGATATTTACTTGAGCACATCGAATTCTTGGGTAGGTCAAGGTTATTCTTTCTTTTCTTTACCACTGCTTTTAGTTTTTCGCTATTCAATTATCTCTTCTTGATATCTTTTCCTTGAAGCTGTAAACATGAGTTAGTTTTCAAGGTCGTTCATGAGTTATAAGTTTAATAATACAAGCTGAAAATCGTCGCGTTGGGAATTTTTCCTCAAATGATTTATATCGTTATTATTTTAATAGTAAAGGAAACACGGGAAAAATTTTATATGGCGATTAAAGAATCATGTTAGAGTATACAAATTTTGTCATAAAGGCTTGTTAAAAGACTTTTAATCACCTCGGTTTTTTTTTACTCTTAAAGGGAAAAATGTCCGTAGGTTTTATTTTACTATTCTGAAAGATAATGGTTTCATGACGGCATAACACCTGTTATCAAATTGTGAGGGGTTTTCCCGAATTTGCAGGTTGTTTACGCTCTGATAGAACAAAATAACAAAACAAAAGAAGTTCGTGCCCTCATGAAAATCTGAAGGGCTGATTTGCATCTACTTGTATACCAGAAATAGTTACTTTCATGCAATTTTTTTCCAATCAAAAAGCCTCATTGAGCATTAGTACAAACTTTTAGTAAAAAATGTAAAAAATGCGACATTTTTCCAAGCAACTTTTGCTATATTTTATTATTTTGTGATTACATGAGTACAATACATTAACCACAAATGATCATTTATATCATTTTCATATACAAAGTCCTCTGAAGATTGACTCTTTCAAGCATGAAAAAGTAAATAAATATCATGTACTGAGACTGGTAGCTATCATGCATTCCGATGACAATAAACGTCAAGTTCGTGAAGGGATACTTCTTTCATTGTACAACAAGATTCGAAAATTCGAAAACAAATTAACGGGCTTCTGCATCTTCAGCAAATCTCATTGATTAACACGCGCTTTTGAAGGCTCTTATCGTGAGATATTCTACGAAACGGATCCATTGAGTTTTCTTTGAAAAGATTTATGAAACAAGACAGCAAATTTAACCTTTTTAGTCGAAATTCTCACTATGTTAATGGAAATACTTTAACCTGAATCGAAAACAAAAGTATGGTTAGGGTATTCCCGACGCGTCACGCATTACGTCACATCCAGCTATTTAAATCCGTTCAACTTTTACTCGTTCTTTAGACTGAATGCGCCATAGTTTAGACGTAAGAGGCGGCATTTAACTGCTACAATCTTGATTTATTTGCTTGGGAAGGCTTTGACGGCTATTGCAGAATAACAGATTCTTTACAGGAATAGTGAACAAGCATAGGTAAGAGGGAAAGCATCTTTTCTTGTGTTATTTGATTAACATACTAAATAACTTTCTGTTCTCCTCTGAGTCATTATCGATTAGTTATATACTTGAAGCATAACAAGCCTCACTTGTGAAAGATCCCTTGAGATATTCATTGTCTTGATTAAAAGCCCTCTATGTGCGCTTGCTGAGTCCATGCTCCGACGCGCTCTATGATAGATACTTGCATTCGAAGCTTGCTTCTTTGGTTATTTTTCCATAATTTATATCTATTTACATATAGCCCTTTACTGCATGGGTATATTTGGTTCCGATAAACTGTTGGGTTCGAAGCTTTCTCTTCATGAGCAACAAATGTGCATGAATAAGGTGAAATGAAAATAAACCAGCCTTTTCCAGTGAGTACTGAATTGGCAAGATGTCATAGTTAGAGCCAAGCGAAAGAAAATCTGATTATCAACTGATAAATACAATTCACTCAAACGTTTCGGGACCGAAGTTTTCACTAGAATGAAACGAACTTACTTTTCTGAAAACCACCTGCTTTTCTGAAAAAACAGGAAGTCGGCGCTATTTGATTTGCATTAATTCATCTCGAACCACCGGATCGCGGGCTTTCCCCTTTACGAATAGATTGTATATTTTCCGCGATGTTTCGCCGTTCTAAAGATCAATTTTATCAAGAAATATTGTTATTTCAAATTCCTTTCAAGTAGCGACGCCATTTTAGGGTCTTTGTCGAATTGAGTTGACCGTTCTGAGAACAGGGTCATTAGCTAGCTGTCTTGAAATTTTGGTCCGCTAGGACTATATCAAGAAAGAAAAAGTGTCTCGTTCAAATCAAAAGATAGAAATTCACATCCTTTTATCACCATGTCTGTAGAATCTATAATTATAATTATTTAATTTCTGATACACGGTGAATCTGCTCTTCATATCTGAATCAGATACTATCCCAGCACTACGGTGGCCCACATCTATCACGGAAGAAAACAAATTCATCACGCCAAAAACAAATTCATCACGGCAAAAACAAATTCATCACGGCAAAATCCAAATCACTGGTCAGCGGATTTTGGTCAGTGGTGCCTTTTCGTACCTTAAACATGGCCACGACAAGCTCTTCTTTCAGTCGTGTTTCGCCCAAACTGCGGAAATCCTTCAAGGGACTGTACATTAACAATCCGAATCACCGAATATATTTCCCTGTTGTTGGAGCTTGTGAAAAAGAATTCACTTTACCAGTTGCTCATATGAAAACAGCTGATGAATTCAATGAAGAGTTTATGTTAGCACTCTCCAAGGGGCAATCTCTTAGTAATATGAAAGTAAGAAAATGTTATTATTGGATTGATGAACTCTGCTTAGAGAAGTGGGTACACGTACACTGTATTTTCAAGTTTATCGATGCATGTAAAGGTAACCATTGGAATTCATTAGCCTTTCGGGAAAACTAACGAGAAATTCAATTGACTAGTTTCAAGATGATCACATCAAATATGAACTCTTTTAGAGATTTTAGTTAGCTTCATGTCAAAGTTTATGTTAAAGCATACAATTGCAGTAATCACAATTATTGCCTGTTTTAGAAAGCCTATGATTATAAATTTTTGGACTGATGAGCTCTTTTAGAGATCTTACAATTAGATAGCTTCAAAAATTATTGTTATTCTTAATAAAATGTAGGTGCAGTAGTTATCAATTCATATTACAATTATATTACAACTACCAGTACTGTTATGGCTAGCCCATTCTGCTATGGCTTTTTTTATTTGTGTCTAAAGCATCCTAAAATGTTTATTTACGACGCTAGTCACAAGTCAATCATGATGTCACATCACACCAAAATGATGCTAAACATTTCAAACATCTGCCATCTTGGATTTCAAAACTTTTCAGAGATGTCAAAAAAATCTCCAAATTTTGATATTAAAAATAAAAAAAAAGTAAGGATGCAAAAACTGTAAATATTCGGGAAGAAACTCTTTATAAAAAGGGAAAATCTCAATAAAGCCGAAAAGTAAGGCTGAAAATGCACCAAATTTGGATGACCTGCAAAACTTGGTTGTCATGGACTCATCAAGTCAGGTGAGTAAACAATTGACACACCAAAATGTTTCCAAATAATTTTTGGAAACAGTCACAAAGTTTGGTCATTATCACTTGGATCCTCTTTCTAGCAACCTAAGTTTTCAATCAGTGTGCTCACTATCTTACCTCCCTCCCCTCCCTTGGCAGGATAGAGTTAAGATGTAAAGCATGACACTTTGACGTGGAAACTTTTAATAAGCCCCTCTCTCTATTAAGCCCAACCCCCTACCTCTATTAAGTCCCCCACCCTTTGTGAGACTTCATTTAACAAGCGTACCCACTGCCAAAGGGCTTAATAGAGGAAATATGGTATTTGATGTGATGAGAAACACAAGAAAACATTTTAGTCTTTGTCTACTAGAAGCTTTTTAATTACTCATTAGTTGTGCTGTACAAAACACCATGAACCAAAACCGCTACACCGAAATAGTTGAATCATGAAGTAGTATATGTATAATGATTGAATTGTGTGACAATAACTGTCATACACTTGCCATGCTTTTTAGAAGCACATTTACATGTAAATTAAACTTCGAGGCCATCGTATCCTACACTCCTCTATTCTTTTTGTTTGGGCAGAAGACATTATTTCCCCATTGCAAATCTTATCGTGATCATTTTACGAGACTCACTGAAAATTTTCACCTCAGACATTGCAAGTGACCCATCACCATTCACACTAACTCAGCTGGTGCATGTGCATGTGCATGGACACATTCCAAAAGCAGAGACATTCTTGACAGGTGGTTTGAGTGATTAAAATTTAAGATTTTGGACAAAATAATAAGCCACTGCTATTTTTCAATGATACATACATGTACTTAAACCGTAAATTGTTAAAAAGAAAATTAATTAAACACTAATGCTACCCGCTTAAACCCCATTTTCAGATAAAGTTACAAGTTTTCTGCAGTCTGTCTGCTTCTTGCCAGTCATTTGGAGGGCTGATTCCAAGGGATCTTCGGTCATATTCAAAGTACATGTAATCCTGATATTCATTAAAATCACTCATTGCAATGAAAGTGCTCAGATACATAATCCATTTCAGATTGAGGAACTTTCAACAGAAGGTTTCCCACGGCCCCATGATGTTCAGGCAAACAGAAGAGCGAATCTGGTTGACCAGAAACAGTGTTGTGCCTAGACTTCGCAATTCTGTGGCTATTCCAGTGTTCTTTAACAATGTTAAGGTCATTCTGGAGAATTGATGCATAACAATACCAGAGACATTCCATCCTTAGTTCAGAGGAAGAGTCTAAAACACCTCCTGGTTCCAAATCTTTGAAATAATTCTGCCACCATGTTGACCTGTTTCCAGAATAAAATGACCACAGGTCCTCTTTTTGTTGGTTTCTTGGAGAAGACACATAACGATGAGCATCAGCATTGTCTTGGAAATGACATTACATTGATGCTGCTAAACCATTTTCAGTTCCTAGATCTGTATTCAATCGTAATGGGCATCCTTCCAGTTCCTTTACAGTTTTCAAATATGTTGCAACATTGTCTGGTGAGTTGTTGGAGCAGGACACCTCAAGCCACAAAATTTTTCTGTTAAATCCATCAATGGCTCCATGTGTAGGAAACCCAAAGGGCTTTAGTTTCTCGTATTCATCCATGTGCGAGGAATCATTTGGTCCCTGATTGTGATATGACCTCCTCTTTAAGTGGTGAGCTTTCCTTAACTTAGTTTCTTCTGGATCTAACTCTTTTAACATACCCTGTACTATTATAAGTGGAATTCGCAAGTCCTTTTACTCCAAAGTGTGCCAAATTGTCCTGTATCCCCCAGATGATCCAGGACCATTGATAATCTCACAGACACGTTGTCTCACAATTTGTATAGTATTGTTTGAGTCATCCTTGATAAAGAAACCCCTTCTGCCAAGTCCGTATGCTTTCCGTCGCCTTAAAAGTGTTATGTAGCTTATTTCATGTTTATGGTGTTTAGTAAATAGAAGAATAATTTCTTCATAACTAAATCCACACTGGAAGTAATGTTTCATAATGGTCTCTTCATCAACCTCGACTTCACTGCAAAACCCTTCACTGCTTGAATCTACAATACTTGAATCTGTATTTGCATTCAAGTCTACGAGATCAAACAACAGGAAAAGGTTATTAACAAATGTAGAATTCAGCAATTCTTCATAACATTTTGAGGAAGAAGCAACCAGGCGTTAGGTCCTAGGGGATTCCCTAATTCTTGCCATATTTGTTTTAGCTTACATTGTAATACTAAGTACTCAATATTGAGATAACGGTAGTTATTTGTATTAAAGCAAGTAGGTGTTCCGGTACAAACGAACCGATACAAAATACAAAACAATACAGCACAGGTATACAATGACTCCATTTAAAACACTACAAACCCTTGGTCAACCGCACACAACGACCGAGTTGTTTACCTGCGACGTTTAATTATTAATTTATTAATGTATCACTTCGGCAAATGATCAGAATTGAAAGCCTTCTCCGCAACTGGAGCAAAATTTGTCTTCCTACTTTAAAGGATTTCCGCAGTTTGAGCCAAACATGACTGAAAGAACACGATAGAAGATCGACATCGAACAAGAAATGCAAGTTGTTACGTTTATGGTGCGAAAACGCTGCGCTGACTAAAATCCGCAGACCATTCATTTGGTGTTTGCCGTAATGAATTTGTTTTTGCTGTAACCGATTTGCTATTGCCGTGACAATTGTGGGCCACCGTACAATACAATGCCATTTTCCATTTGAATTAAATGCCCATGGCTTACACCACAAGATATTAAACAGTTTATAATCTCTTGTGAACAGAATTTACGGGACAGTCAACGTTGATTTTTGAAGTGGGTGGGAATTCGCCTTGATTTAAAGTGAGGAACGCTTTAGAGATACTAGCATGTTTTTCATTTCTAATATATCACGAGGGTCACAGCATGAAATTATAAATTTACGAATCCGTAAAGGTGTTGTGAAAGTAAGCGTTAAGATTCTCTTTATGCGTATTTACTAACCTCTTTACACTTTCGTAAAGAATGTCTTTATACATTGTAAACGATAGTACGTAAAGATCACGGAGAGAGACTAAAATCGCTATCTTTACGTGCCTTGTAAAAAGTTGTATAGAGAATATTTACGGTACTTTACGGCGACTGTAAAGCGATCACAAAGGCGATCTTTACGCGTTATTAAACTATCGTAAATGGACAATATTCACATGCCCATTTGCTATTTTGCAGTTGTCTGAATTTCTTGGTCACATTCCCTTTTTGTTACTTAGACTATAAAAAATGTGAGCCCATGACAACATAACGTAATTCACTATCTTGGCGTGTATTGCCAAAAGTCGTATCGAGAACGTTTGAGATACTTAATGCTTCCGTAAATTGATGCAGTACATGCCTTTCAACGACTGACCCATACAAACATGTGTTTTATACCTTGCAATTTATTTTATTGTCAGAACTCTTTAACTTGACTTAGTAATTTTCATAGTAACGTAGCTAGAGGTTTAAATACACGGGATAAGAACTGTCTCATTGGTTTCCTACAGCTACAGTTACCTTTTTACGTCTCCTATCGTTAGTTTTCAAATAATGATAGTAAGTACAAAAACAGTGAGAGAATGTAAATGTGGAACAGATTAAAAAGAGAGCATACATGTTTTATGCCACATAAAAATTGCTTTTTGATCTTTTTTGGAAGTTATCATCTTCATGTGAAAAAACTTGGTGTTGAATTATCTCCCCCTTACATTTACTTGTCGATTATACATGTGGCATGGTAAGCTAGTTTTAACAGCTCTTGTCATTGATTGTAAATGAGTTTGAATTTATACTTATACTTTGAAACAATAACAACAGGGCTTTTTGCATTTCATTTCAAAATGATTAAACTAACTTTTTTTCTGTTACTTCAAGATAAGAGAAGCAGTGGTAATAACTTGTGCCACCTTTCTGATTTCACAACTGACATCAACTGACTGTGTCATATCATACAACCCAACTTACAGAATGACTCCTTTCTCCATACTATTATTTCACTCAATATTTACAGCTGTTGAGTTCAGCCATTGTGGATGCAATGATGGATTTAGTTTTTTGCCACTGGTTCCCTTGAATAACTAACTGATGTGGTTGAAAACATTAGTGAAGACACTCCAATATAAAACCGCCTCCCGGTTAGCTCAATTGATAGAGCGCTGGACTGATGTGCGGGAGGTCGAGGGTTCGAGCCCCGGCCGGATCAACGCTCAAGGTCTTCAAATAATTGAGAAGAATATGCTGCCTTTCTATAACATCAAGAAATGGTTTAGATATTCTAGTCTTCTCGGATAGGGACGAATAAATGGAGGTCCCGTCTCCAGCAGGGTTAGGGGTAGGAGACGTTAATTTCCCACGCAGGAGATTACTGTGTCATGGATATCCTCCCCTTGGGATGGGTGGGTTGTTGTCTTGCGTTTCATACCTGAGCCTCTGGCTCGGGCAATATGGGTAACCATGCCCCACGTAAAGACATTAAACTTTGATTACAGGGCCTGGCCATTTCTCATTTGTCACGTTTCAATTCAAAATAAAACTATTTTTGAAAATCTTGATTTCTGAAAGAAAGTTAAAAACACAAGAAACTGACAGGCAATTTACCACTGTGGTTCATAAAATTTTAAGGCACAGTGGGTGAGAGAAGTATGCCTGAAATTGAACGTGTAAAATTAGGGTGCCAGCCCTTTCATACATGCAGGGACACTTTCAGATTACTGTCTTCCACGTGCAGGTGTGCTCGTAACCACTGGAGAACCACTCTTTAAGGTCCAACTGGGGGCACCTGGCGGGGGGCTCCGTGAAGACAGTCTCTCGCCAACAACTCTTTCTGTTTGGAAATTTCTGACATGAGGCTTTAATGATCTTTTGTGGGCAAAGTCAAGAACGTCCTTGAGTTCTCTCAGCTTTGGTCCCTCCCAGGCCAACCTCTTTGTTACAAATCTTTTCACATCTGGCCCAGCTTCATCTTCAGAGAGCTCACTTTCATCTGAGCTTGTATACTCTATAGTAAGGTATTTTTTGCGTTTTTCTTGTTTGGCTTCATCCCAGCCCATTTGGTCCACAGCAGAAACTCGCCGAGCTATTTTCTGGAAAACACAACAGAAATTAATGTCTTTGCAACAAAAAATTGCCTTGTTTCGCATGAAAGTTGTTTACACACATTAACAGTCTGCTTACAAACTGTTTGAGAAACAAGTTTAAGATTGCTTTTAAAAAGAAAACATGCAATTTAGAAATGTACAGCCCGTATTTCCCCTAATGGCTACATGAGCCATAAAAAAATTAAATATCTAATACAAAACAATCACGATTTACACCTGTATAATGAAAAGTAAAAATTATGTAGTGATTGTATTATAAACATATTCAAGAGCACTTGACATCAAATTAACTGACTTACCATCTAAAAACTAAACCTAGATAGCAGAGCCATCAGAAAGCCATCATCAAAGATGTAGTGTTGTGTCTTTTACAAAAGGATGCTACATGCATTGTAACTGGTTTCCTACCTCTCTTATATTATTCCCTACCTTCGACACAATCTTGTGATCTATCTTTCCCAGTACCCTTAAACTTTTTAAGTAAGTAGAAAAGGCACCTGCACAAAACAAAGAGATTAAGTCACTAAAAATTTGCAAAATGTTAGGTGTTTTAAAGGTAGCACTTTGCAAAATGCACACGTTAAGTTAAAACCATGAAGGGGTGAAATGGTGAAAACAATGAATTTTGAAGACTAGAAGTACAATAACCATTGAGAGAAATGGAAATTAACCTCTGAGCTGGGCAGGTGACCAAGGGTAGTGTCCATCTCCTCCATAATCGTTACATATAACATCAGAAACTATTGAAAATGCCTCTTTGTTCCTTGCAGAGGAAGCACTGAAAGTGTTTACATAAAGTCAGTTATTGAAAATGCAAGATTTCATTCACATTTGATGTTGTAGAAAATTGCAAGAAAGACATCTTGTAAGCTTAAGTTACCTTCTTCCAAATAAAACCCTTGAAAACTTGCCTCATCTTCCATAACGTATTTGTAAATCCTGTTAAACTTAGTCTGAAAGGGGATGGAAAAAACATTATGTTGTCAGTAAGTGATTGATAGAGTGGTTGCTAGGGCTCAAATTTCAGAGTTGGCAGTCAAAAATAGTTCCAATTGCCAAATGGAAGTTAAATGTACGATAGTATGGTACCAATGTTTGACTGTTTTGTTTACCACTATCAGTCAGGGTTTAGTCTTTGGCAACTCAAATAAGATTGTTCTACCGAGTTCAGCAACCAAAACATGTGCAGTTATACTAAAGTAATTCAAAACTCCAAAAACTTATTACTGATTTTCAACAACAGTTTTACAAAAACTGCAGTAATCAAATGTTTGCTTAAGTTCAGTTGTCCAATCTTTTTGTGTGAGTTTGATTTCCTTTCGATTGCTGAACTCAGTTGAACTCAATCTCTGGATTAAGCTAAGTACGATTGAAATTTTGTTCAGTTGGATATGATTGACTAACACATACTAGGCTCTTTTGTTTCCACCACCTTATCTAATACCGTAACCTTTAAACTTCACTAGAGGCGGAATCCTGATTTACAATGCCAAGCTTCTGTAACAGAAGAGATCACTGAAATCCTTGTAAACTGGTATGATATTTACTTGAGCACATCGAATTCTTGGGTAGGTCAAGGTTATTCTTTCTTTTCTTTACCACTGCTTTTAGTTTTTCGCTATTCAATTATCTCTTCTTGATATCTTTTCCTTGAAGCTGTAAACATGAGTTAGTTTTCAAGGTCGTTCATGAGTTATAAGTTTAATAATACAAGCTGAAAATCGTCGCGTTGGGAATTTTTCCTCAAATGATTTATATCGTTATTATTTTAATAGTAAAGGAAACACGGGAAAAATTTTATATGGCGATTAAAGAATCATGTTAGAGTATACAAATTTTGTCATAAAGGCTTGTTAAAAGACTTTTAATCACCTCGGTTTTTTTTTACTCTTAAAGGGAAAAATGTCCGTAGGTTTTATTTTACTATTCTGAAAGATAATGGTTTCATGACGGCATAACACCTGTTATCAAATTGTGAGGGGTTTTCCCGAATTTGCAGGTTGTTTACGCTCTGATAGAACAAAATAACAAAACAAAAGAAGTTCGTGCCCTCATGAAAATCTGAAGGGCTGATTTGCATCTACTTGTATACCAGAAATAGTTACTTTCATGCAATTTTTTTCCAATCAAAAAGCCTCATTGAGCATTAGTACAAACTTTTAGTAAAAAATGTAAAAAATGCGACATTTTTCCAAGCAACTTTTGCTATATTTTATTATTTTGTGATTACATGAGTACAATACATTAACCACAAATGATCATTTATATCATTTTCATATACAAAGTCCTCTGAAGATTGACTCTTTCAAGCATGAAAAAGTAAATAAATATCATGTACTGAGACTGGTAGCTATCATGCATTCCGATGACAATAAACGTCAAGTTCGTGAAGGGATACTTCTTTCATTGTACAACAAGATTCGAAAATTCGAAAACAAATTGGTGCATATAAGAAGAAGGGTTTTTACCGATTTCTATTTTTGGTGCCCACGACACGAAAACAAATTAACGGGCTTCTGCATCTTCAGCAAATCTCATTGATTAACACGCGCTTTTGAAGGCTCTTATCGTGAGATATTCTACGAAACGGATCCATTGAGCTTTCTTTGAAAAGATTTATGAAACAAGACAGCAGATTCAACCTTTTTAGTCGAAATTCTCACTATATTAATAGAATATTTTAACATGAATCGAAAACAAAAGTACTGTGCAGGGTATTCCCCGACGCGTCACGCATTACGTCACATCCAGCTATTTAAATCCGTTCAACTTTTACTCGTTCTTTAGACTGAATGCGCCATAGTTTAGACGTAAGAGGCGGCATTTAACTGCTACAATCTTGATTTATTTGCTTGGGAAGGCTTTGACGGCTATTGCAGAATAACAGATTCTTTACAGGAATAGTGAACAAGCATAGGTAAGAGGGAAAGCATCTTTTCTTGTGTTATTTGAT